GACAATGTCTGCGTGATCCATGTGCCGGCCATCTTCAATTAATGCAGCATCTGCCAGTCTATCAGCCCTTTCATTACCAACAACGCCTGCATACACAGGGACGAATATGAAGGTAGCTGCACACATAGGAGAGTTTTGCAATGACTCAAACCACTTTCTGCGTAACCAGCCTGCCTCGACCCGCCGGATTATGCTCAAAGAGTCACTCAGCACACACACGAGGGAACAGTCATGTGATTCTAGCCACACGAAAGCTTAGATTATGGATGGAATCCAATTCAGCACATTTGGCATATCTCATCTGCATTCGTTTTACAGCTTTTGTGCGTGTGTGTGTCCTTGCTTCCTTTATTTCACATTTTAGTGCCTGCTTGATGATTCTCTGCTAGTTTCTTCCCAGGAAGTGTCTAATATAGCGCCATCTTCTTTGTCTAATAACTTATTACAAGTTGTTTCTCTTAGAGCCTCTACCCACCCTCTTCCCCCTTTTCCCCCTCTTGAATTCATTCCTTTTTATGTTCATCGTTTTCATGAGGCATTTTTTTAGGTAGTAAGTTGACAAATTATCAACATCGCACATCGAACTATTCAGTCCATAAGTGCTCAGCTCCTCTTCAGTATCTCCCTCAGCGTGCAGGGGATTATGACACCAGTTCTCTGAAGGTTTACTGTTCTACTTTGGGCTCCTGTGAGCTGTCTTGTCTGGCTTTACCCTTTTGATGTTACGTTCGTGTAGTCTCGTTAGTGTTGCAGACGTTCGTTACATGTCTTCAGTAGTTATCCCACTTTCAATGGCATATGTTAAAATCGAAGTAACTATAGAATTGAGAACATGTAACTTTGTTTTTAAACTATGCTATTTCGAGTTCCATATTTTAATCAAACTTTTTAGAACGACTGACCTCTTGCCAATAATTACTATACTTAGTCGCTCCTCTTGTACATTGGAGTGTAGACGTTTGCCAGAGAGATCGCCACTTTTCTCTATCAGCAGTTTTTTTTCCCCCTGGGCTTTGTTTCATTCCAGTCCTCTGTCGGTCAAGGACTATCGGATGTTGTCACCTTGCCAATACGTGTCATGATTGTTTTCTTTGTATTTCCTTGATTATGAAAATTACTATCTTAATATTTACTATCTTAGTCGAGGTTTCCAATTCACTGCAGTCGAGTTTCCCTATTTTTGCCCCGTTCCTGTGCCAGTGATAATCAAATGAAATGTCCCCCCAGTATGTTACGTGAAAAAATGGTTAACAAACAATCAGTCCAGGCACATAAAAATGCACAAGGCAGTAACTAGAGGCGTCAAAGCCAACAGTCGCCACCTGAAATAGGAAAATTTGATCTGCAACTAAAATTTATTGTTTGTTACATAAGACTGATCGGTTTTTTGTTCGTCACTACTTTTTTTTAAATAACTTATTTGTAGCCATACCTTTAATACTATATTGCTAAATTATCTGTTATTCTTTGCATGTGGTTGCGTCTTCTTTGCAGAACAATATCATCAGCAAAATCTAGATCTTCCAACTACGTGTTCTGCGGCCAATCAATGTCTGTGTTTCCAACAGTTTCCTATCACCCAGTCCATTGTTAAAAAGATAATGTTGTATAAATAACAAAGACAAAGGGTGGAAAATCTCAGATCAGTAGAAGAGATAAATAACTATTCACTATCAAAAACATATATTATATTACTGACTATAAGAACTAAAAATACTTTTCTGCTTGTTCACCAGCTGTAAACTCACGCGGAGAGATCTGGGTGTTTGTAAACTTCTGAACTTTGGTTCTGTTCCAAAATCTGAAAGTTGCGTGAACATCTGTTTAACAGATCTGACTTATGTGTATGCAGGCTGTTGATTCCTCGCCTCTCAGGCAGATGCACTATTACGACATGCTTTTGGGGAGGCAGTGAAAAGGAGTTATTCTCTAATCCACTGGCTCTTAAATTTCCCAATGCCGCAGCCCTTTAATGCAGTTTTCTAAAGTTGTGGCGACCCCCCCCCCCCCCCCCCCCCCCACAATTTTTTCCTTTATAATTTCAACGATTATGTGTTTTCCGATGGTCTTAGGCGTGATAGGGTCGTACAACCCAAAAAGGGTCCCGACCGGCAAGTTTAGAACCGCTCGCTGCCCAATCAATGATGTCAAAGACGTTTTATAAAATAGTTCTAAATAGAATTAAAAGAGTAGTGAACATAATCCTGAGACAGGAACAGTCCTGGGAAGTAAGGACGACCGCCGTGGTGCTGATCACATCACTGGTTTGGGCTTGCTGATCTATAAAATACGAGTCTAGCATCATATGCCCCGATTCCGCACTGGCGCAGATACTTATTATTTACCTTTTAAGTAGTACCTGTTTCATATTTAGACCTTTTGTTTCCTTGTCAATCTGCCTTAACACCTGAAATGTTCGGTTTTATGGCCTTCTCCAGGATTACAACACACAGGTTCTGGAAAAGGACTGCAGTCCAGAAGTGGATGAACAACCAAAACTTTCCGCTGGAGTTTACAGTCGGTGAACGAGAAGAAGAAGAAGAAAAGAAGAAGAAGAAGAGAAGAAGAAGAAGAAGAAGAAGAAGAAGAAGAAGAAGAAGAAGAAGAAGAAGAAGAAGAAGAAGATTACAGTGACCGCTAGCAATGATCAGTATGTCAAACATAGCGCTACCACTAGCGTTCAACCTAGTAAATCCTTGTTCATGCTCCAGCGACACACATTCGATAATAACAGTTGTATGAACGTTAACATGTCACTAGAGCGAGACGACCCGGGTAAGGTTACCCCAAAAAGAAAAACAAAGTTGACACAAACGTTGCAATGCTCTTGCCTGGTATTTGAGAATTAACACAAGAATCACATTCCAGCACAGTACACTAAACATGGATACGCAGACAGACACGTTGTATGTCAGGAAAAAAATAGGTAAGTATACGTAAATGACTTTTGTCATGCCAATGACGTATCGGGCATTGATGCTAGATGTGGTCCTTTTCCTTTTGTTCACCCTGTCTCGGGACTCCGAGATTTCGTGGAGAGTTCCCGGGAAAGTCCAATAGTATAGATCATAACAAAGTTTGCTCGCGGGCCAAAAAGTTGAAAATGGGGACCGTCGCGGGCCAGTGGCCCAAGCCCAAGTAACAGAAAGTGTATTGATCGGCACTCATAGAAAGAAGTAAAAAGATAGAAGAACACACTAGACCACATACAAATCGAAAGCTATAGTTACCTGTGTTGACCATGTTCTTAGTGCACTTGTATTCATGGCGAGGCGCACACGCCGTCTGGAGGTGACAGGCTCAATTCTCGGCAAGGTAACTATAGCTTTCGATTTGTATGTTGTCTAGTGTGTTCTTCTAGCTTTTTACTTCTTTCTATGAGTGCCGATCAATACACTTTCTGTTACTTGATTGCTTCATAATATTTAACGGCCTTGATCAAAGGTCCCCCCCTCTGTTTATTTAAAGGCTCAAGCCCAAGTGTGGACAGGTTATTAACACAGTATAATTAAAAACATTTTAAATGCATAAATTTAAAACAGTTGAAAACTGTTACGCCTAGGGCGTAGCCTACGGTAACATAAATAAAACAGTTTTGTAAACCATTATAATGTAAAGTATACTACAGTCTTTTGGAATGATTAATTAATGCTTACTTTTAATTCTTCTTCTTCTTAGTATTCACCGGCTGTAAACTCCGGTGGAAAGTTCGGGTTGTTCGGCCACTTCTGGACTCGAGTCATGTTCCAGAAACTCAGTGTTGCGTACACATTCATTTTACATGTCTGACTCATTTGCATGAAGACTGTTGGTCCCCATCTTCAGCAGCCAGCGAAGAGTTCCGATACTAATGGTGCCAGTAGCATTCTGATTAAACGTCCGTCTTGCCTTTCCTCTGAGCCTCGAGCATCTGCCGGAACCTCTCTTCACTCCCCCCCCCCACACCCCCGCATCTATCCCACCAGACTGTGGTGATCCATCCGCTCCTCCGAATTTTACACCCTCTCCAGCTATTTGTTATCAACCAGTTTGTCCGCCTCTTCATTCCCCAACACACCGGCGTACCCAGTGAAAAAATCCAGACAATACACCTCACCCGTGTCCTCCGCAGCGAAGCATGCCACTCTGCACGAAGCATACATGTTCTGATCTTCCTCAGCATGCTTTCTGAATCAGTTACAGTCACGATGTGTTTGTTGTATACGAGAAAGCCATACATAAATAGATGTGCACACAAAACCCAAGTTCTGGACCAAAACTAAAGTCCAGAAGTGGACAAACAGCCAAAACTTTCCATTGTAGTTTACCCCTGGTGAACGCCAAACAGAAGAAGAAGAAGCGAAAAGAAGAAGAAGAAGGAGGAGGAGGGGAAGAAAAAAGAAGAAGATGAAGAAGAAGAAGAAAAAGAGGGCCAAAGAAAGAGGAGAAGAAAGTGGCAGAGGACAAAAAAGATGAAGTAAAAAAAGAAGACGATGAAGAAGAAGGGTAAAAACGAGAAGAGGAAAATGAGTAAGAGGAAGAATGAGAAAGGAAGGAGAAAAGGAGGAGGAAAAGGAAAAAATGGAAAAGAAGAAAAATTAGGTGAAAAAAGCCGAGTAAACAGACGCAGAGCATGAATAGAATAAAAAGACTAGTACGATGAGATTAAGGAGGAAGAGGAGGTGGAGAAGAATAACAAGATGAAGAGGTGGAGCAGAGGGGGGAAAAAAAAGATGAATGCGGAAACCACAAGCTAGGACCCTTTAGATGTTTACTTCCGGGACATTCGCACATGCGCAGCGAGATTGAACGTCGAAATTGTCTGAACACTTTTGTGTTATATCTTATTTATGTTTCCCACACACTGGATCCTTCTGACACATCCACCGAATGTCCTGCCACTTGTAACGTGGACAGAAATGCACTGAAAGACCAAAGGCAGTTTAATTTCTTGCATGCAACTGGATATTGGTAGGGAGAGACTGCGGTAGAAACACCCACTTTGGTCTCAAATAGAAAACATGGCTGCAGCCGCCCCATTGCCGGACACTTCGCTGCCCCGTGTCTCAGAGACGTCTTCTGCGGGGCAGACAAATGAGGAGCTTGAAGTCGACGGTAAGTTGTGGGTTTTATATTAGTTCTAAATTCTGACACTTCGGTTTCAAGTGATTATTCGTCAGAGTTTAGTGGTCCTTTGGGCACGTACCTAGGTCACTTTGGGCCTACTAGTACTAGTACTACTACTACTACTACTGCTGACTTTTAATTTGTTTGGGCTCAATATCTACCCCAGTCTACAGTCTATTTACAGCTACTAACTACTACTCACTCAGCTACGTGCCGCGCAGTATTTATAATAATTTATATTTCTGCAATATTTTATTTTGTACTCAATGTAGACATAAAAACTCTAGTGAATTTTCCAAAATTAAAATAAATAGAAAAAAAAAAAACCCCCAAAACTAAACAAAAACCAGTAGTAGAGCAGAGCTGGCTGGATAGTTGATCATACATGAACAATATCGTCCCAACGGTACCTCTTTATTCTGTATCATGTATGATTGTATGACTATGTCAGTTGTCATGTTGGTTTTTTGTAGAAATAAGGAATAAAGAAGAAAAAATCACAAATGAAAACACAGTTTAAATTTGCTGTCGAGAAATAACTAATAAGAAGTCATTCTTTGAGGAGTTTAAAACTGCTTTAACTTTGTTTTAACTATACTGTTTTACTTTCTTTTTCTTTTGCCTTTCTGAACCTCAAGCCAATGGAGCATAGGCCCACAACCAACTCACGCCAAGTCGTTCTGTCCTTTGCTGTTGCATGCAGCTCCCCTCTGTCCTCTGTTATTGCTTTGTTTTATCCTCTGTAGTCCTCGCCTGGCTCCTTGTGTCTATTATATTTGTTCATGGCTTTCTGTGCCAGTTGGTACCAGGACATTCTCTTCAATTTGCCAGACCAGCTTATCTCAGATAGTCAAACCACTTAGTTGTTGTTCTTTCATAAACTATGACTATGACTGGTTGCAGACCTAGTCTTCTAATAATAATTTTGGTTAAAGTTGTATCTCTTTTTGTTACTCTGGCAGTTCTTCTAAGACATCTCATCTCTATTGCTATGATTTTTGCACTCATTAGTTTTAGTAAGGATCCTTATTTGAATTGGTAGCATAAAGTTAGACATTTTTTAAAGTTCTCATTAAATTTGCCTAAGTAGACAAAAGTATACTTCTGTGTGTTCTTTTTCTTCTTATCTTCTACCATTTACCTCAGCGAGGTGTTTGGGGGAGATGTAAGGATCGTTTGTGCGCTTTTTCCAATAAATTGTACTAGTTGGTGTTATTTCTGTTAAGTTGCTTCAGATGATATCGCTTCATCTCTTGCGTGGTCTTCCCCTGGCTTTGTGTTCATTATAATTCTCTCAGGTAGTTGGTTCAAGGGCATTCTCGTCAGGTGGCCAAACCATCTCATTTGTTGTTCTCTAGTGAATTGTATAACTGGTTTCAGTCCTAGTCTTTTTCTGATTTCTTAATTTCTGACTTTTTCTCTTCTTGTAACACTGGCAGCTCTTCTAGATCATTTTATTTGTATTGTTACGGCCTTCCGCTTATTTGTAGTAAGGGTCCATGTTTGGCACTGGTAGCACAATATCGGTTTAAAAAAAAGCCATTTTATGAGATTTACTTTAGTTGACAGAGGTATCTTTCTATACGCGTTAATGTGTCAAAAATGGTAGCTGTCCCAGTACCTGGAGGGTTTCCTGGAAACAGTGAATGTACATATAGTTAGCTGACAGAATATGCTTACTCAGCTGTACAGCAAACTACTTTGTACACACGTGTACTTAATCGTATAAAACATGACTAACAACATGGTGAAGTGGTCTGCGACTAACGACCCGACTTGCCTGCTGTGCAGAGCAAAGCAGACATTAGAACATGTTCTGTCCGCATGCAGAAAAGCCCTAGGTCAAGGCCGATATACCTGGCGCCACAACAAGGTGCTAAAAGAGTTGGCAGCTGTTGTGGACCAGGCTAGAATGGGGGCCAATGCAAGAGCCAGTCCTACCGTCGTCCCATACGCTTTCTCAAGGCTGGGCAGATTCAACAAGGTAAAATCAACAAAGGCGCATTCGCTCCATCTATGCTAGACTCTGCGAGGGACTAGTTACTGGCGGTTGATCTGCCTGGCCATGAAAGGTACCCTGAGTCAATTCGGAAGACCGGCCTGCGACCTGACACAATTCTCCACTCTGCGGAGAAACGGCAGCTAATCCTGATTGAGCTGACCGCCCCGTATGAGTCGCGAATGGACGAAAGCTATATGTATAAGCTCAAGAAATACAGTCAGCCGATCTGAGGAGAGACAAAGCGTACACATTACAAGTCTTTGCCGTCGAAGTGGGAGCGAGAGGTCTCGTTTCCAATTCACTCTACAATGTGATTAAACAACTAGGCTTACGAGGTAATGAACGCAAACGGACACTTAAACAGCTGGGCGAGGTTGCTGAGAGGGCCTTGAGCTGGCTCTGGACACAACAAAACAACGTAGGGGACGGGCCTCGGTGAGCTGGTCCGTGTGTCTAGTGGAAAAGAGTTTGCTCATCCCTTGAAAGTCCATCGTGTCCGAATTGTCTGCCAGTGTTCTTCTGCCACCTGCTAACAAAAGTCTAACATGTGTCCGGTATACCAATCGTAAGCTTACCGCTCGGTCGTTCAGGTATGCAGACTGCTTTAATTATGCTACCGCGACGACTTCTTATCTCACTGTACCTTCTGCAAAATCACCAATTCGTCTTGTCCATATCCGAACAACATCCGGTAATTTTGTGCAGCAGGGGAAACCAACCCTGAGCTTCATGAACTCAGGTGGGCCCACTCTCTGAAAATGTCCAGGAGTTCATGGGCCGAAACATTTGTCGATGAGAGATTACTTCTACTGATGATTGGTAGACCCCTGCTGTACATGCTTCCCTGTGGAGTTTATTCTTATTGACTAAAAATCCCCTCTCCTCTCTAATCCCCCTCATGGGGTTCTGGGGACAACAATAATGGGCCCACTGCTTCCTTAACAAGCATGTTGTAAAAGCCTACTAATTGGGAGTTTTTGTGAAGTTGGAAAGCATCTGCCTGAAAGGCAAAGAACCAGCACTCTGCATACCAAAAAGAAGTCAGATTTGTAAAAAGGATAATAACACAACACACAGGTTCCCGAAAGATGACTTAAGTCCAGAAGTTGACTAACAACCAGAATTTTCAGTCAGAGTTTGAAGCCCCTGAACATGAAGAAGTTTACCACTCTACCTGTGTGCCAGTCCTGACCTATGGGTGTGTACCTGTGTGCCAGTCCTGACCTATGGGTGTGTACCTGTGTGCCAGGCCTCACCTATGGGTGTGTACCCATGTGCCAGGTCTCACCTATGGGTGTGTACCCATGTGCCAGGCCTCATCTATGGGTGTGTACCCATGTGCCAGTCCTGACCTATGGGTGTGTACCTGTGTGCCAGTCCTGACCTATGGGTGTGTACCTGTGTGCCAGTCCTGACCTATGGGTGTGTACCTGTGTGCCAGTCCTGACCTATGGGTGTGTATTCATGTGCCAGACCTGACCTATGGGTGTGTACCCATGTGCCAGTCCTGACCTATGGGTGTGTACCCATGTGCCATACCTGACCTATGGGCGTGAGTCATGGGCGATGACAACAGCTCACAGAAGTCAGAAATGAGATATCTGAGAAAGGTGGTCCAAGTGACAAGAAGGACAAAGTCCGCAGCCAGACAATATGTCCAGATTTTGATACCCAGTCCTTACAAACGCAAGTGGATCAGTCACAGTTATGATGGTTTGGACATGTATGCATAATGGAAGAGTACCAGCTACCATGGCAGACATGGGAGGCTAAGAACCTGGGAACCAGACCACCAGTGTCTGCTGGAAAGACATCATCCGCCAGTTCCTGACTGACAGAGGACTGGAGTGAAACGAAGCCAGAAAGAAAACTGCTTATAGAGACATCTGGCGATCTCTCTGGCAAGCCTCTGCACCCCAAGGTAGAAGAGGAGTGATTAAGTAAGTAAACGAACATGAAAAAGAAGAAGAAAGGTGCCCAGAAACAATGAATGTAGACTTAGGTGAAAGACCCCCACCCATTATATGTTTTTTTGGCAAGGGCTTCCTGAAGTGGTCTAAGCCTCAAGTTTCCAGTGCCCTTGGTTGTATGGGTTCTGGGACCCCATTGTGGGGAGATCAAGAATAGACCCACTGCCTGCCCAAAGGCATGTCACAGGAGTCGGCTAATTGTGAGCTTCCTTTGAAGTCAAAGTACCTGAGAGGCAAGGAACCAATAGCCTGCATGCAAATTAGTTAGACATGTGAAACAGATGTGCATACAACATTTTCTGGAACAGAAGTGGACGAGCAGCCAGAACTGTCCGCTGGAGTTTACAACCGGTGAGCACAAAGAAAGGAGAAACAGAACATTATCATCTTTCGGTTCAATTCTGTGCAGTCCTTTTCATATCACTGACTGAATCCAGCCCAGCACCCTTGGCCTCTCTTATTATCGCTTACCTTTGAGTGTCCTTGTTTCTTCAGCTCATTTGTTTCTCATTCCAGTGCCTTTTAGGTGTTTCTCTGTCCGTTTCTCCCACAGTTAAAATACCAAATTTATACTTGAGTGATCTAATTGGCGGCCAGCTGTTGTTGAAATTTAACTGAACTAATTATTTTCTAGCAATTTACTGTTCAGCGTTTTTAAATCAATAGTTTAATTATGGAGTCCTATTGTAGTATTCTTTTGTTTAGTGTTTTCGCTTTTTCATATCCCATGGAAAAAAAAAAAAATACACAGGGTCTAAAAGACTAGGAGTAAAAAGTGAGTTTGTAAGGCAATAATAAAAAAGAGACAAGTGAAACCTTATTTATGGCCATTGTTAAAAGACAAAAACCATTGTGGTCGTTGGCTGTGAAAGCACATACGGCTGGAAAAATAGATACAGTAGAACCTCAATTATCTGGTTTACAATTAACAAGGCTTTATTATCCGGACTAGTAGGAAAAAAAAATCGGTAATAAAAAGAGGAGAGGGCAAAATGCGTGAAGCAGTCATTTATCAA